TAATCTGAAGATTGGACACTCTCCCTGCTTCATGTTGCCATAACTCTGGAATAATCTTGTCTTCTTCTGCCATCCCAAAAGCAGAATCTATGTCCCATTTGGGACCACATGGTGTTACAGGAAATACAGTGGATATATATATATATATATATATATATGTTTTTTTGCTTCTTCCATGAAAAATACAGATGGCACTCAGAAAGGGTCCTGAGTATTTGTAAGCAAACTGAAACAACAGTGCAATATAAACTCCCCACCTTTTTGATGTGCTTGCCTCTTACATGGCAATAAAAAGACACTGAAAGTGAATCAATGGCATTGTGGAAGAAACCACAAAAAAGTTAAACAGCTAGAAAAGAAAAAGGAGGGAGAGGCTTGGCCAAGCAAGACACCAAAGTGAGAAGGCTTTCTGATACCCAAACCTGTACCAGGTGTCCAAAATTACCCCTAGTTCTTTCAGTATAAGACAAGAGTGAAGATGGCATATAACCACTCCTTCCACCCTAGTTCCTGAATAGTGCCCAGTTTCATAGAAGGGATCAATCTGGTGCATGGTATGAAGATTTTTAAAGATTCCCTACAATATAAGACTTAAGCTAATTCTGAAGTGTTTGGAATCCTTGCTCAGACATTTTACATTTGAGGTGAACGCATCTCTAATTTTTGTTTTTAATTACTACTTTCTTTTTATAAACGTTTTCTTAACTCCTTATGGAAGTGCAAAAGAACTGATAAAGAAATTATACAGATGGGCTGATCATTTTACAAACATAAACATTTGCTGATCAGCTGATGTAAAATAGTATTGCTCCATTGAAAGGCACTATACTGAATTACACCTTCTGAATATCCTGGTGGGTGGGTATATACGTATATGAGAAAGTGCATGTGCATGCCTCATGCACACCACTAAGGTAAGTAGACCAGGCAAGTAATAAAAAGTAAATTTGCTAAGTTTATTTTAAGGAAAAGCAAACTGACAAAACAATTTCCACCATGTGGCATCAGAGTGACACCTATATGAGGCTTCAGCAAGGCTGAAACGTTTACACTGACTCTACAGACTTGAGCCAGAGGAGGAACTGAAAGCATTCTCTAAAGCAGGGGTGGGCAAAATGCGGCCCGGGGGCCAGATGCGGCCTGCCAGGCCATTCTATCCGGCCTGCAGGGCCCCTAAAAAAGTTAGAAAATTAATACTAAACTGCCCTGGGCTGCCTGTCATGCGGCCCTCAATCGCTTGCCGAAACTCAGTAAGCGGCCCTCTGCCCAAAATAATTGCCCACCCCTGCTCTAAAGAAACCGGTAAATGGGAGGAGGGAGGGGGAAAGAACACAGCTATAAAATCACTGGCAAATATGTTGCTAGTGTCAGAGGAATGGTGATATGAAAGATTTCTGGGTTCCAGTCCACATTCTGCAATGTAATTCAGTCACAGAAACTTCTTTTCAGGGTTTTCCCTATTTCCCCTCTAGTCTGTTCCTTCTCATTTCTACCCCCTTCAGGTTTATTATTCTTGTCCCAGCCTCTCCCTTAGGCAGCACTGGTCTCCACCCACTCCTGCCTCATCATTCTAGTCTCTATCTTCAATATCCTTATCAGGTCTTCCCCTTCCTGGTTCTCCATACCAGTCTCCTCCACCCCCAAAACTTGCCCAGACAATGCCAGTCTTCAAAAACTGGCCCCTCATTTAATTTCAATCTCTACTCACCAGTCCCAAATCCTATTAATCTTCCAAAATTTAGTCCCAGTTTCCTCACCCAAGCAATCCAGTTCCCTGCTTGCTCTCTCCATATGCATTCTGTCTCCCCTTTTTTATTCAGGCTCCTATTCTCACCTTCCATTAAGCCCTGTCCCAGTTACCATCTTTTCAGGCTAGTTCCTGTCTCACTCAATGCCAACCCCTCCCAAAGTCCTTGTCCCAATCTGCTCTTTCTACCACTGTTCCCAGGTCGAGATGTATTCTCTTATGCTAAGAACAGACAATAAAAAAATCCAAGGCTGAATCTTTGCAGTTTAATCTAAGCTGCGTAGATTGAACCGATAAGCAAGTAAAACAGACGTGCACTTTTGATTACGGAAATGCAGCAACATGCCTGCAGTGGCTCAGGCCAGAAGCTGGAGCGAGTGCTAGAGCACACCTCTGTGCTTGGCTGAGCAGACATCTTGAGCCAAAGCTAGCCCACCCACCTGTGGGCGGGGGGTTTGCAGGGGAGGTGCAAAGCATCCTGGGATGCTAGGGGACTATGAGTTAACTTGAAACTGGAGGGGATCTGGGACAGAAGTTCAATACACCGATCTGACCTAAATCAGTTAAGTCTGATACTACATCCATCCAGGTTTATCTGAAGCCAGTTTCAGCCATTTTGAAAGCAGTTTATGTGCAGTGAACTTCTGTTGTGTTACAGATTTGAACTAGTTTCTGATCACTTATATTGGTTTATGTGTAATTTCTGTCCCTATCCTTAGAGCATTTAACTCACATTGTTCTCTTGTGCTAGTATTCAGGAAAAACAGGAGCGAGGAGTTCCCTTGTTTTAGGGTACAGTTACACAAACAAGTTACTACAAAGTGAGCTAGGGTGTAAATTTAAAGCACCATAGCTACTTGGCCCTAACTCTCTGCCTGCAGTCTTACCCCTTGATAAGTGTGAGGTATCTTGTTCTTCAAGACCCTCACCTGGCCTACAATGGTTGCAAACAACGACAGAGAAATTCCTGCTCAGACCCTACAACCTTGGGCTGAAGCTTGCTCATTACAAATGAAATCTTCAGAGAATTTAATAGAAGACCAGAAGCATAGTGCACAAATAAGTAACCTGGGGCCGATGTGTCTCACGCCTCCCCACAAGACAACACAAAGAGCAGCACCAGGGGGCAGTCTGTGTTACAGAATGCAAGATGTTCTGGGAATTGCAGATCTCCAGTGGCACAGTGGAGTTCGCTGCTGCTGAGAAGAAACTTGCACTCCATTTTTTGGCCACTAAAGCAAATGACCAAATAACTGCTGATTCCAGCAGCAAAAACATGGGGTAAAAGTGAACCCTGCTGCTGCTCTATGAAACTATGATTCCCAGAACACCTTGCACTCTGTGACACACACTGCCCATGTCATTGCAATGTGCAGCCAGAAGTGCACCAAGTGGGGAACAGAAGAGAAATGCATCCCCAAGCCCATCCTTCTGGTGCCCCTCCCCTTCAGCAGTGCCCGGAGCAGATGCCCACTCTCCCTACACTACTGCTAAAGGGCTCCCAACTGATTAAGGATGGCCTCAGAGTTTTCAAAGGCTTTTAAGCTGGGCCCAGTTTGGGTGAGCTTTTTGTAGGAACAGCAAAATAAAAAGACATCCTCTGCAGAAGGGCAAACCCCTTCTCCTTTGGCAAGGTGCATGATGCTCCAAAGCACAATGGCCCTACAGCATCTCAATGACAGGTTTTTAAGAAATTTTAACACAGGCAAAACATACAAAACCCTACTCTCACCCTCAGAAACGGATTAATTTTTTTCTGTGGAATTTAAAAAAGCCTCAGCCTGAGGCAGACAAACAACATAAAGCATTTCATTTCAAGTGGTTACACTCTAGTAAATTTATAAGCAACTGAAAATAGGGTCTTAGAACGGGAATGCTACCATTCCTGCCTAGAACAACTGTGGAGGTACATAACTTCCCCAGCATGATAGCTTCCATTTAGCCATTTAAACAATAACATACAGAAGCTGGATGCATACAACTTTTATCATCATTTTACACACACACAAACACTGTATTCATAGAACTGTAGAAAATTAGGATTGAAAGAGACCTCAGGAAATCATCTATTCCAACCCCCTTTGACTAGCCAGGCCTTAAAAACCTCTAAGGATGGAGATTCCACAACCTCTCTGAGAAGCCTGTTTCAGTGCTTTCTCCTTGTGAGAAAGCTTTTCCTAATATCCAACCTAAACTTCCCTTGCTGCAACTTGAAACCGCTGCTCCTTGTTCTGTCATCTCCCACCACTGAGAATAGCACTGAAAACAGTATTACTAATATTATAGTTCTTCAGCACATGTATGTCCACAAACATATTTGGTCTGAGTTGTGGACCACACTCAAAATGACTCAGGTTTTAAATTTCATGCAAAAAAAACAAACAAACAAACAAACAAAAAAACCCCAAAAAGGTTTTATATCTTTGAAAGGGGGCTAGATGGCACTATAAGTTAATATACAAGCCCTTCACCTTGGGAAGTTTCAGTTCAGCTCAGCTGTAAGTGGCCAATGAAGGAGCACATGTTTTCTAGACTACAGTTAATAATTCACAAGGATTCATTTATTCAGCAGATTTCCTCTTTACTTAATTAGGACTGGTTTCCAATAATTTAGTCATCCTTCAGAACTAAACACGGATTGCTTCAGTAAATAAATACTTTGCTTTCAAACATATAAATAATAAAACATCTCTCCCACATATTTAGCCTATATTTTTCTTGTAATTCATCTGATTACTTCTAATTAGCCCTCCCACCACCACCAACTTGGTCTCCTGCTAGATTCCTTTGTGAACGGAGGTACCCTCCCATGACAGCTGCAGTCCAAGGGGAACAATGCTGAAGTGACAGTCACTCAGCTGATTCCCCAAATTCCTCCTGGCTTCTATCAGGGACACATTCTGTAGGGTGCTGTGCACTCTGGTCCCAGTCCAGTGAGCAGAGAGAGGTAGTTAGCTGTGTTAGCCTAAACTCAGGCAGAAGGCAGGGTAGATTTGCACTTTATAGACTAAATCAGAAGTGTATACCATAAGCTTTTGTGAGCCAAGGCTCACTTCATCAGATGCTGCGAAAGGATATGCACAGAGCAGCATATTAAATGGAGAGAGCAGTTTCCAATCAATCATTCAAGGATGTGATAGTAGCAGAGAGCCAGCAAAATCAGGAAGGCTAGTCATGTGCTGAAAGTCATGTGCTGCACTGAGGTCAAAGAACTCAGTACCTTGCAGAGTCAACCTGTTTGTGAGGTGATTACCTAGGAGGCGAAAGCTCTGCCGGAAAGTCAAACCCAAGCCATCAGGAATTCAGACCAGCAGCCTAAGAATCTCCCCACAGCTGCCAGTCTCCCTCCTCAGTTTAGCATGCCATAGCCACAGCCTGTTCCCCATCCTCTGCTTCTTCACCAGCTTTATATTCCTGTCCCCTGCAAAAATATAAAAAAAAAATTACTCACACATGTGGAATGGTCTCTACTGGCTTGGGGTGGGGCAGGGAGGATGTGCACTGTAGCTGCTACACATCTGCCTCCAGGGAAGGCCAGCATCTGGCTCTATCCTTCACATCCAAATATTCCATCGCCGCCCCCGCCTCTCCCTGCTAACCCATTACTTGACAACGGCTTACATTTTTAGCTCTTCTATGCTTTCCCCCAGCACTGAATCCCACCAGATCCCCAATGGTCTGCATTCTTCCTTTGCAAACTCTCTTCCTAGGAAACTTCTTCTAAAAGAGTCACAAAAACTTGCAGTGAAAACTGTTCTGCCAAGAAGCAAAGCAGTCACAGCAGGGGAGGAAAGGCAGCAGCAAGATAAGAAAAGACCAAAAAGAGAAGAGGACTGAAATGCTTCCACTTCTCCCACTCTCCCCTTCACTTTTTGACTGCAGCTGCAAACAAACATAGCATTTATTAGGGGATAAACCATTTTTTTTCCTAGGATACAGTACAGTCATACAGATGTCCATGTCTCTTGTCCTGGAATAAATACTTTAAAAGGTTTCCTGGGTAAGAGGTAGTAACAGTTTATCCCAGGATCTTGCAAAGCATATCTGTGCAGGTATCCCAGGACAGTATCATTGTATCAATGGCAGAAAAGCAGCACCTGGATTCAGCCACTCACTAAATCCTGATTAGAAGGGTGATGTGTGTACATGACAATCCCAGGATATTTTTGTTCTGCAACAAACACAGGCACAAATTATCCAGGGATAAGTGCAAAATCCATTCCTAGCCTTCATGAGCCTGCAACAAAATAGTTGAGTCGCCTACTGTAGGTCACATGACTAAATCCAGCTGCTAATGGTCTAAAAGACTGAGGATTGGAAACCTCTCTCTCCCTTTCACCCCAAACTGAACTGTGCATTCCCAAGCAACAGGGACACCAAACACTTTTCTAAACACTCTTTGCCATTTGATGTCCCAAACACAGACAATATTCAAAAGATGTGAATAACGCTTCTTTACTTTCCTAACAGTGACTTAACAAAAAATGGCCCCCAGAAGTTCCCACAGGGGTTTGCAATCTCTCAGTGTTTAGCATAACATCATGAAACTTTGTTAACTCCTTAGTCTAGGCAGATGAGTAGAAGTTTACTTCCCTCTAAAATAACCATGTGAGAAAAGCATAACCATCATTAGAACAGCCATGCAGAGAGGCCTCAACCAGCTCAGGATACCCGTGGCTCTAAGTGCTGTATTGACATATGACAGAATATCTCTGCCCAGCAAACTTACCTTCTAAAATGGAAAAGCCCAAAGACATAACAAGTGGGTGAAACAAATAAGAGAGTTGGATGAGAGACTAACAAAAAATAATAGGCTGTTTGAGCCCAGACTAACCATGTGTGCCATTCTGAGCTAATTAGGATCATCTCATTTTACCACCTGCAGAGGGCAGGTTTACATAAGCATCATGACCAAGAGGAATGTGAAGGAAGGAGAAAGTGGGAATGTACTTGTGGGAAAGCAGATAAGCAATCAATGGGTGGGCGGAATGGATGGAGGAGTTCCAATGCCTGGATGAGAATAAGGTGGGCAGGAAAATGCAGGGGTAAAAAGCGTGCTGCAGAAATAGAAAAGCACCTTTACTGTACCTGTAACGATCTTAGCCTATTCATGCTTCATATCAGGTTGATCCTAAGTTAACCTTTAATAATATACAGAGCCCGACTCTCTCATGCCTCAATAATCCTCATTCTAAAAAGCATTCACTGAAAAAACATGGCAGTTCTTCCACGGCATTCATTTTTCATGCATCTGACCTACTCAGTCATGACACTTAAAAACAGGAAAGACCTACTGCTGGCAGTCACCTAGGGTATCTCCTCATCAAGGAAGGAATTACTGTCACTTTAAAGCATGTGACTGTGCTACCTTAGAAACAATGCTCCATCACAACTAAAAGGCTGTACAGAAAAAGGCAAAAGCGAGCATCTTTACTGACATACATACCTTTCAGTGATGTGGAAATAACACTATAACACAGAGGTATGCTCTAGCTTCCCTGCTCAGATACAGGTTGCTACCTGACTATGAATGGGAATCATGAAGCATTCACCTGGAGACGGACACAAGTCTGGTCCCATTCCTCAGGAGAGGCTTTGAAAAGTTAGCCCTGACTCAGCAAGGAAACATGTGCTTCAGTCTCATTATTGACGTCAGACCATTCTCAGAGTAGCCTGGTACGCCCACTTTGGCCCAGTGGGTCCGATTGCACAAGAGGTGGGGCACTGAACAGTGAGGTCCTACGGGCCTGCTGTGCACTCCTGTTACCAAATGCTTTGCTTTGGTAGTTTTGAGCAGCTTGTTATTTCAGAAACTAAAAGGGAGTGGTGACAGAGGGAGGGGAAAGAAGTCAGATATCAGCTGCTCAGATCCCATGGTGATGACTGCAAGATTAGTCTAGTCTCAAAAAGGTCAACTGTCTTCTTAAGCGTAGTGGCCCATTTGGTATGTTTAAGTGTGCTAGTCCATGGCATACAAGAGACGGATGTGTCTAGTATCACATCCATCTGTTTCTAACTTCCCAGCCTGAATAGACAGGCATCTAACTTGTGGGATGCCTTAACCTCTCTGCCACCCGCTTTAAAATTAGTTGTCTAAACCAAACTGGTCAAATCGCTACTTAGCAATAGCCATCTGCATAATCCAACTTAAATTAACATGTATTGGGCCATAGGCACAGACTGGTCTGATTTTTAATATTAAATTGTGCCTGGTTCATGCTTTCTAACTTAAAGGAACACTGACCATGGAGTTTTTTTTCCATGAATGGCACTAGAAGACTGTTTTAGCTTGGCTTTGGCTTCAGCGTTGCTTGTATTTATATTTAGTTTGTGTGTTTACTTTCCAACCCTGTATATTTGACCAACGGGAAAAAATGCGGAGTAGCAACTGAGAGGGTACATATTTAACATGCATCACCCATATTTATTCTTTTAAATCATCCTTTGCCTTGTCTCTGCTCTGGATATTTATTTTTGTACTACTTTTAAGGTTTTGAGGATTTCATTTTTACTGGATGCAAGAAAGTGGAAAACCAGGTAAATGAGTTACCCCGCAACAATGGAGGACAGCAAAAGCCAAGATTCTTGCTAGGACCATGAAGAATCAACACTAAAAAATGCAGAGTTACAGCAGCAGTGACATTGGGTGCCCAGGTAACCATCAGTATGTCTGTGCAGGGGAATTTAGGGGTATGCTCTCAGTAGGATAACTTATTAATGCCTTGGAAGGTGGCTAAGGAAGGTACAACATGCATCCCTGCCCACCCATTGTGCCCATTGGATATACAGACCCTTGGCCACACTGTGATTGTGTCTATAACATGTACCATGATAACACCCATAGGCAGAACAGGTACCTTAAGCTAGGTACAGGCATTCAAAAAGCCCCAGGCAGAATTGATCCAAGTTACACGGTTTTCTGTAAGTGGAGTAGTTTTGATCAGTAGCAAACAGAACACGCATTCGCCCCTTGGTTGGGGGGTGCAAATCTTAGACTGGATTCCGCCATTTTTAAACCAGTCTATGTGCGCCGAACTTCTGTTCTGGGGATAGACTAGTTTCTGAACACTTAAACTGGTAAAAGTATAATATCTGTACCCTGCCCTAACGTGCTAACTACTATACACACTCAGTTTGTGCTCCTAGTAGGTTGCAGTCCCATATCACACTCTTGGATGGAAGAATGTCACAGTACATCCATGGGAGTGGTCCTAGCAGCATTTTCAACCAAGTCCTGTGGACGTATGGAGGGTAGAAGCCAGCCGCACTCTTCTACTAGTTCATCACAGACCACCAGGGTTTTGCCAGTTCCTCATGGTTTTATCATTAGTGTCATGCTATTTGATGTTTTTCTTAAAATCCCAGCTCCTGGAGTCATGTGACTACATAAGACTTCAAGCCCTCATTTAAGAGAAAAACAACCAACCAAACACCCCACAATATGACACCCCCCACAACCTCCTTCTCCCCCTACACACACTCCATATTCTCCATAACTATGAAAATAAGAACCCCAGAAGGGAAATAAGAGAATCTTAAAAATCTCATATTTAAGCAAGCCAATGGCAATTCAAGGTTTCATAGATCAGAGCTGTCCAACTGACAGCACCCACAAACCACATGAGGTCCACCAAAAGGTTAGCATGCAGCCCACAGTTTCCATCTGGCTGCCACTCCTTACCCTCCCCCAACTGCTCCTATATGATGTAAAAATTACCAATCTAAACACCCTGGGGATGGGCATTATACATAAATGTTTAAGATGATGTGGTTTGTGAACCCAAAAAGGAATCATTCACATTTCCAGTGCTACGACTATTTCAGAATGCATTGCTATCTAACCCAAGTCCTGTCATCTGCTGACTGAAGGGTTTTAGTTGGTGCATAACCTGAATGTGCTCCATATATCCTCAAGACAGACATTTCTAAGTATTGCCTCGACATGTTGGATACTTGCTAAGTTTATATTCGAGTAGACCACAGAGGATAAGAACCAGATCTCTGACTTTTGGAGAAACTCCAACATTAAGTGTCATTGAAATGGACACATTTCTGAAAGCATTTCATTTTTTTTTAATGCACTGGCAAGTTCTGATCAGCTCTAGAAAGGGCTTCTAAAAGTGAAATGAAAAAAAAAGTGCAACAGCAAAGGGGCTAATGTAAGATCTTGAAAAAGTTAACCCCAGGATCTGCAAAGTGATGTCACAGATTAAGAGCAATCTATTCTGAGGAGCAGGTTTGCCTGGAAAAGCCAGTCTCCTCCTCGAACCAGTTAGCTCTGATCTGCTGAGTTGCAGCTGTGATGCTTGCCCTCTGGTGAGCCTCTTGCTATTTGTTTACTCCTGAATGGAGCTGTCATTTGGAAAGTTTCTTCCAAGGGGAAACACTGCCTTAGTGACAGGACAGTCCTTTGCTAAAAAGCCCCAGGACATTAAATAAATAAATAAATAAATAAACACACTGCAGTGAGCCGGTCCAGGTCACTCCCCCGCAAAACAGTAATAATGAATGCAACAGGGGAGCTCTTAATTGTGGCTTCAAATCTGCTCCAGGTCCACAGTGCCTAAAAAACCCCAGTTATCATCCAATAACTGCCCATCCATTTACATGAAAAAAAGATGTGGCATGGGGTTGTTCCTCAGTGTGGAGACCAGAATTTGCAAGGTGTTTAGACAGCTAGGAGACAAGTAGGAGACAAGTGTGTATAATCCTCCCCTTCCACACACACACACACACACACACACACACACACACACACACACACACTTCCCTACAGAGATGTAATCTATTTTTAGGCACTTAAATAGCTTTTTAAAGTATTCTCCCAAGCACTATCATCATTCCCAGGCAACATTATGAGTGCCCACCTTTGAAGAGGGGGCAAGGAGACTGAATGGATATCTGAACTCCAGTGGACCCTCTTGGCCAAAACAGGCGGGAGTACAAGCAAGCAGCAATAATGAGCTTGCTCTCATCTAAGCCTTGTGCCTGTAGGGCCAAAATACTTCTAACCAGGCCATCATTAAAAGGAAAAAGGAAAAAAAATCCACAAGGAGATCAGCATGTAAGGGATCTTTCCCCACAAAAAAGGTCCCAGTGTTTCCAGTGCATTGTGAACTTCAGCAAGTGCTACCATCAGCCTGAAGGTTCAACAGTTCTGCTGATGGCAAGAGCCCAGGCAAAACTTTAATCAAATCCAACAGCCTCCCTCAACTCCTCCTTCCTCCCCACCCCAAAAACCTATCAATCCTTGTGGAGCCTACTAAAGGGATGCTATAGGCAACTCATCTCAGTAGCCACTTCAAGCGATGTTGCCTTTTAAAGAGGCACACATTTGATGCATTGCCCTTTTTAAGGATCACAAGTAATTTCAGCTGCAGTGGCCTGACCTGTTTGGCAGTAGCTAGCTGACATCAGCTGCCTCCAGAAAAAAAAGAGCTTTGAAAAGACATGACGGCAAATGGAGAATGAGAGGCGGGGTGCTGAGAGTGCAGAGAGTTAAAGGGGTGGTCCAAGCATCTCAGTAACAGGCTAGTTGTCTCTGCTGCTCTGTGCCTGGGATTCCATCTCATTACCCTGTTTCCTCTGAGCTGATTGGAAAGTGGCCTTACGTCTGGAAAAGGCTGTAAGCATCTTACATGCATCTGTTCCACCTAATCCCCAATAAACTAGTGCCTGTGTGTGTTCAAGGGGGAGGGGGGGGGGGGATGGGAAAAGGGGTCCCATTGGTGTGGTCCGGGGGTTGTGAAAGGGGGGGGGGGGGGGGGGAATGTGAAAAGGGCTCCCATGTGTGCTGCCATGTGGCAGCAGGCAGGGCTGTACAAACTACGCACACACTTTCTGCAGTTGTGGGCTGGCTGGGTGCAGAATTTGATGAAGGGGTGCTAAGGGGAGGAAGCTGCATATTCCTCCTATTCTGCCCCTTTCACAACCTCATGGTCTCTTTCCTCTTCCGACTGAGAAAAAGAAGAGGTGGGGGGCAGGGGAGGTATTACACAGCTTTGCTGCAATTCAGCTCTACTTAAGCCACTAATTTTCCCCTTGCTAATCCTGTGTTATCCCAAAAGAATGATGTCCAATTCCTGAAGGGGAAAAAAATCCCTCAAGGCCCTAGACAGTTTGCCTGAGGACTTGGAATTTCTAAGTGCAACTCAAGGGTCCTTCTTCCTCTTCCCTAACATAGCCATCTAGCAGCAGGCAGGCAGATTTTCAGCCAGCTTTTAATAGCAGGAGCTATTACAATGCAAGGCGTGCATGGGGATAAACAGCTCTGTTTGCCAGTAGGATTGTCACATCTGGAATTTACACAAGTTACTAGGAGCCACTATTTTGTTTCACTCACAGTGTATCATAAAACATTTTAGCACTTAAAAGTGTTGTAGTACAGACATGTAGAGTGACTAGCATAACCCTGCTGCTCTTGCCATCACAAAGACCCACACACCCCCACACAAGGCCTCCTCTCAAAGCTGTCACACCCCAGCCGTCCTAAGCAAATGCTACAATATACAAATGCAGTTAATGAATGAGAAATCCAGGCCCAATTCCAAAAGTTGCTCAACTTTGTCTTCAGGAGCTGA